GTCAGACTTGAAGTCAGCAACCTTCCCTCAGTTGCTGCTTTGAGTGAGAAGGTTCCATTTAGCAGGAAAAGGTTGTAGGGATGACAAATTCCTCCTTTATGAACTTCGCATTGCCCTTTTCAAAGTCACTGCATCTTGTATGTATCAGCAGAGATGCCAAATAAACTGGGTATTGTGGGAAGTAATTTCTTTTGGCTGTATAGTACTGATTCTAATGCTTGAACATTTCACTGGGCAACCCCTATGAATTCTATGCTACAAAAAGGGAAGAGAAAAATATCTCCCTGGGTTGATCAGAAGCTGCTTTTTCTAAAAAACAGCTGTGTCCCGTACCGTTTGAGCAGCTGATTACAGTGCCCCCACTTTTGCCATCTGAGCATATTTCCTCTCCTTCAAGCACATCTGCTGGTGGGAAAACCCATTTGCTTTCTTATTTTTATTCCCTCTCTCCTATCTGAACAGTACTGTGAGCTTTAAAAGATGCCCTTCTTCACCTTATATTACCTTTAGGCCCAACAGCATTCAGAGTAAGCTGTATGTCTGTGTGCTTTTGCGTGTAGAGTTGTGCTTCATGGTTTTGTAATAGACTTGTGAAATCCAAGCAATAAAAAGCTAGCCAATTTCAAAGGTGAAGGTTTCTCCTGCCACAAATTCACCTTTGCGAGATAACTGGTACAGTCATTTGCTCAGGTTTTATTGGCTTGGATTTTAAGGTTAATAAACATACAAAGAACAGATTTTTGGTTTGTTTGCCTTGTAAATGCAAAGTGCAATTTGGGCAGCAATAAGCAAGTGCTAGAGGCTGCATCACCTCTCTGGTGTGGCAAGGAAGAGCTTTGCCAGCAATTGTTGCAGAGCATGGTGTGAAAGCAGTGTAGCAACAGACCTTGATGTAATAGGATAATATTCATTTCAGTCAGTGACTAGGTGAAACAGAACATATATAAGCTAAATACAACAAAAAGAGAAGAGAAAACAAATAAACAAACCATCAACATAGCCATGAGAGAGGTGCATCAGGTATGAGGACGTCAGTCATGTGCAGTAGCCAGTTCGCATACATTCACAGCAGCAACTTTGCAAAAGACCTTTATTCTTCCTCTCCTGAGAGCTTAGTTGGGCAGCATGCCTACTTTCATATCCAGTTTTTGAAAAAACTTTCTAGTCCTGCTTTTAGATAAGGAAATTGCCCTGAATATGATGGCTCTATTCATCAATGCTAGAAAGTAAAATGATCTGACCTTCCTTTCCCTCTTCTCCCTCTTTCAATTACAAAGCTGAGGCAGCATCACTCACTGCCTGGCACCAGCTAGCCTCTGCTGTGCTGCCATCTTCTCAGTAGTGCTCTGGGTGGTATTCTCTGACCTCCAGAAAACTGCAAAAACAGACAGCTCTGAGCCATCCGAACTGCAGTCCTTGCGCAGCAAGAAGGCAGTGGCGTCAGACATGTCTCCCTCACGATGTCACATGAGAGCCTTCAGGCTGCCAGTAATTTATCCTCATGAATTCATGGTCTAGCAAGATGGCACAAGGGTCATGGGCACGCATACTTTTAAAGGAGAAGGATTGCTTGCAGATGTGCATTGCTACATGCCTTATCTGACTAGCATATATATTTACCTTGTTTGTGTTGGAACTGCCACCTGATTAAAGAAACCTGACATGATAAGTTGTATGAACGCTTGTGGCAAATCCACTTCATCTGGGAAGAAATGCCAATGAACTCAGTGGACACTTCTTAATAACATGTGCAGGAGTGCGTGTTTAATCAAATCATTATAAAATCTACACATGTTGCAAATCGATAAAGTATTCTAAAAATATTTGTTTTGCTTTGTTTTTAATGATGTCACTTTGGATTATCCTATTTCCCACACATAAGATGCTCCCTCAAAGACGGTATCTGCTCTCCATGGATTTTATAAGACTGGGAAGCATTGGAAGTCCTCTTCTGACTTTCTCTCGCCCCATGATCAGAGATGGGTCTTGACTAGAAAGATGGACTTTTTAAACCACGGCACCCTAGTCATTATCACCCCAGCAAAGTCTGTATTTTGGTGCCTGCAGTGCCTATTTTTATTTTCCATTACTTTATTTCTGCCAATTTAACCCTGTGTGAATTTTTTAAAAATTATTTTAATGTAATATTTAATTTTTGTCTGTTTCTTTTTAATTATTTTCTTCTTATTTTTTCTTCTTACCCCCCTCCCTTTATACTGAAGCATTTTATAGAAATACGCTAAATACATTCAATATTTTTTTAAAAAATGAGAAAAAAATGCTTAATTAATGAGAGAACTTTTAAAATCAAATAGAACATTAGGCAATGATATATCTCTACATTTTTAAATTGCTTATGTAATTTTTGGTGGGGTGACAGTAATTGTGACATTCCTTACATTTGTCTCAGAAGTGTATGTTTTTTGTCATCTTTATTATCAAGGGTATCAATTAACAAGAGCCAGAACCATATTTTAAATTAAAAAGGATTATTACTTGAAAACAATGATTTCTGCTTCTTTTGAGAAAACCCAAAATAGTTCCAATAAATGTTCTTGAAATTCAGTGCCTTTTGGGGGGGGGGGGAAAGGAACACGTCTTTCATACCACATCTACATAAATCCTGTTGCTTCCCACTCCATTAACATTTTTTGTTCTCATTTCTAGACGGTGACATCCCTGTGTAGGATGTATTTTAAAATATTTTGAATGCCTTTAATAAACATTGAAAATAAGAATAATTATATTTCCAAGCACAAAAATATATCTCCAAGTTTCAAGAATGAACCAAATGTTAGGATTCCAATGATGGTTTAATACTGATAGAATATAAGTAATTGTTTTGATAAAGTGCTGATGCAACAAAAGCCCCTTTGCACTTTTCAAATGAGCAACCCACAGCTCTAAAAATCTGTAATGTCAAATTTAACAAGAGGAAGATGTAATATAGAAAATGCCATTTTATTTCTTTAAATATAATGTAATGTTTGTTTTAAAAAACCTTAACAATCAAACTTCATTTATAAGCCTTGAAGCCCAGACTTCCTGTGTAACAAAATACACAGCTTTATACTATATCACTGCTTCCTTATTTCTTTCCTTATTTGAAGAAAATAGCTTAATTGCTATCTGTCGCTGACATGCATTTTGTCCCCATGCGTTACTTTGAGCTTCATAACATCAAAGCAATCAACTGTATTCATAATTAGAAGTAAAAGGATTGTAGAAATAACAGGCCTTGTTAAAAAAAAAAACAACTGTGCAACTGAAGGAAAGTACAAGGGGTGTTGCACAATTTAACACAGAAAATGTAACACTACAATGGCCTTATAACATGAACTGGTTGTTTTTTTTTACATTTCCTCTTATTAAATTTGACATTTTGATTGCTCTAAGCCACACAGACTATTGTGCATGTTATGATATATGACCCAGGTAAAAAATGTGTTGTCAAGGAAATGGAGTACCAATACAAATCCAGTGGGAAACTCACAGAAGTATTGTACGAAAACAGGGTGAACCAAAATTGTTTCCTTGGGAGAGGTCAGAAAATAAGAGTATAGACTTCTTGAGGAAGGGGAAATCTGATCAATGTGCGTTCTTTGTGACTATATTCAATACTCACAAGTGCATTTAAGATGATATTATAAGATGCTTCAAACCTCCAGTTAATTAGAATGTTAATTAGCTATAAAGCTTTCCTTTGTTCTGCTGTGATAGCTTTATGTCTGGATCCACGTACCTACACTTTGTCTTAGTCCTTCAGATCAGCTTTGGGCTGGACAGGTATACATCCTAATAAACATTTAGCTTCCCCAGCTGCTTTATGGAGATGCCGCTGATGAATTTATATTTGGCACATTTCTGCAAGAGAGAGTTCCTTCCACCATGCCGTCTACTATAAAAAATGGTGAGGCAGAAATGCAGTAGATCTATAATCCTCCCCAATCCCTTCCTTCATCTTCTCTCAGTAGCTTTAGCCAACATGGCCAGCAGTGAGGAATCTGAGGAAGGTAGCTTAACAACTGCTGAAAGGCCATACATTACATATCCATGCTCTGAAGGAAAGGGATACAGAATCATTTCTGCCTTGGAAACTGTCTCTTATAGAACAATAATATAGAAGAAATATCTTCTCTCCATGTGTTGGGAAGAAAGACTTAATCACATAAAGTTAAAAAACCATATAAAGACACTGTAATACTTGATTCTACTTGGTAAAAGGAACAGATGCACTGATTTCCAAAAACGGTTAGAAATACTAAATATATAGATAGCTGAGGGATCAGTTTGCTGGTAGGTATAACAACTGAGGGACACCTATCTTTAAAGTTTGTTGTACTAAATAAAACTTAAGAGAAAAACATTAAAAACATGAAACTAACATAAATAGCATTAATCTCATGAGCAGTAGAATTTTTTAAAAAAATGAATAGTAGAATGCTGAAAACCTGGTCCGTTGACTGTACAGTTACTGGGCCTGGAAAATATTCAGTCCAATTTGTAATACTGCTGGGCCTGGTGAAGAAATTCAGTCATTGGAATTTCTGGTTGTCACATATTAAAACAGTTTCTGAAAAAAGTGTTCTCTGCCTTTCCTTTTGGAATCTCTTGAGTCATCTGTCTCTCAGGGAGTCTTCTGCAAAACTAAAGAAAAAAGTATTTAGATATATTTGATAGGATGCTATCAGGTGGATGGCTTCTAGAGGTGCCAATCAAAACACACTGGACAATTATTCTCATTGAGCATGTGTATGGAAAGGTAAAAAAGATGGGAGAAATACCATTACAAATAGAAGCAGATGGTATTTGAACCTCCATGAAATTCTGTTGATCAGATATAGTAATTACAGGATAAATTTTTTCAGTGTAACTAAAAATCTGCTTTTTACAACAGTCTTTTTCCCCCCCATTTGAAGGTTGTCAGCGCTCTATTGGCTTAAGCAATGGGAAAGCAAAGGTATGCAACTACAGTGGATGGTATTACTGCAGCATCTGTCATGTTGATGACACCTTTCTAATTCCTGCACGGCTAGTTCATAACTGGGACACTTCAAAATACAAGGTAAAAGTAAATACGTGCTAACGCTAGTATGAGTCCCTGATCCCTGATCATAGTGTGGAATACGCACACGTAGAACTGCCCTATAGGAAAAAGTTATGTCAATCAATCAATCAGTAAGTTTACTGTCGTGACTAGAGGTCATTACATTACATAGAATTATAAGAAAAGAAAAGAAAATTAGTAATAATTAGAGAAAGAGGAAGGGGAAAAATATCAACAAACTAAAGGCATGCAGAGAGTCAAGAAGGAACCAATACTAAAATTGAGAGCTTAACCATTTCTTTCTGAGTTTAAAATAAAGCATTGTAAAGGTAGCATCCTGATTACTAACACTTGGAATCACATCTGCAAGGAGGTAGTTTAGTTGTTCAGCATCTGACCTCTTCGTTTGTTTATCAACAATGTTTACTCCCTGATTTCATCATAAATAGGGCAGTAGAGGATGTAATGGATGATGTTGACACCACAAGGGCTGAGGTGCTAAAGAGTGCAGGAAATACAATTGCAGGATAGGAGACAGGAGTTTGTTCCATTGATTTCCACTCATATAATGCAAAAAAACAGTTTAATTAAGTGGAGATCTTGGAAGTCTTCTAATTTCTAATTTCCAGTACCTTACCAGTGCAAGGTGAATTCCAACGGAGATTGAAGGTAACCCAACTTCCATCCTAAGATAGGCAGCTGGAGTGCCCTAAGGGAGGCCCAGAATCTTCCTTAGGAAACTCTTCTGGACTATTTCCAACTGGGCAATGGTCATCTCATTCCATGCCTAGATCTCAGCCCCATATAACATCTGAGGTATCACCTTAGCACAAAATGCAGGTACTACTAACTACCCTCCTTTGGAGTAAAAAAAAAAAAAAAAAAGTTGATCTCCACTGTGCATTGGTCTGTTTCTAAGACAGTGGATATGTTCCATCCAAGGAACTGGTGAAAAAAAATGCCTTATGTATTTAAAGGAAGAACATTGCTTTATGTGATGGGCATTAATGGACTGTCTATATTATTCAGCCATCTTGGTTTTGTCATGATTTATCCTTAATTTTTCCCTTTCACAATAATCAACCAATCTGATCAGTAATCTTATAAAACCAATCTCAGTGGAGGAAATCAGAACCATGTCATCAGCATACATTAGGATTGAGATTATACATCTACTGAGGAAGGTTAAGAAAAACATGATGATTCCATAGTCACTACAATATCTTTAATATAAGAATTAGATTATAAAGGAGGGAGTAGACAACCTTTTTAACACCAGTAATACAGATTGATAACCTTTCTTGGGGGCCTATTTTCACTCTGGCTTTAATATCAATATGAAGTTCAATTATTAGCCTAGGTAGACATCTATTAATACCTGTCCTTTTAAATTTCTCCCATAATCAGGGCCTATTTATTGAATCAAAAGTAGAAGTGAGATCAATAAATGCTACGTAAATATGTTTTTTTAATCCATTGGTGTACTTTTGACTTAAAGCCTTTAAAGCAATACAGTGACATGCTGTGCCCCCAAAAGGTATGTGATCGCCATCTTTTTTTCCCCTCAGATACCTCTGGGAGTAATGATATATCATGAACCATGTTATTTCTGTGGAGTATTCTGCTCCAAATTAGACATGGGTGTTCTGCCATGCTTGAAGTTAACATTATGCCCTTCTGGAAGTAAAATTATTACCATATTTCTTAGTTTAAAATGTCAGTGACTGTAAAAATCAACTTGAAAATGTTTGCACTGCTTAATTTTAAAAAAGAGAATGAATTAAACTGAGCAGGTTGTACCATTTCCCTCCTGTTCACACTGCTGATTTCAGATAGAAATTAGACCATCTTATTATTTTTTCCAATAATTCTACATATAGGAATCAATGAATATATCACAGGATGAATCTTATTTGGTAACGTTGATATAGCTAGATACTGATTTTCATTTGTTCCCTTAGACTAAAATTCATGTACAATACTACACTAGTTTAATGTATCATCCTGTTTTCTGGTCTTGTGTCTGCTTCTCTTATAGGCTCAAACCTGATAAACCAAATACAATAATTGACTGTTGGACTAGATTTGGTGTATTTTGCACTTCTTTTGTTTTATTTGTTTTAAGCCATCTTGTAGGATTTTTGAGGATAACTACACTGACAAGCTTTGGATTTACCAAGTCCTGCTTCTTTCAATGATCTTAGAGTTTTAGTTGGATATTACTGAAAATAATTAAGAGATACAATATGACACAAGGAGCAGGTCAGAGATTCAGCAGATTGGGGCATAGATGGTACTGGGGAATCTAGAAGTGCTGCTGCCAGGCCTCTCCTCTGCGAGCAGTGATATATCCTCAAGTGGCATGAGTCCCAGGCAGCATGAGAGACTATCCTAGCCACAGCATGAAGTCTTTGTACCCTACAGAAGAGGATGACTTTTCAGTAAGCAGCAAACCTCACTTGAACCTGGCAGGCTGGCACCTCCTCATCAATGCTGGGTGTTTAAAAGGAGCTGCAGCTGCACATGGCCAACCAGGAGGAGTTTTAAACAAAGCCACCACTTCCACTCCAGGCAATGAGATTTTTTCAGAGGTAGTTCAGGCAGATGCCTCCCTAATTCACTGAAGTATAAGGAGGAGGAGGAGGAGATACAGCACAATCAGACATGCAAGTTTCTGTTACTATAGCCAGTCTCAGTAAACGTAATTTATCTGGGTACTGGTGATGGAACTGGTCAACCAAATGAGGGACATGAACATTTGTGGCATCCCCCTAAGACCATTCCTTTGGACCATATCCTTTGCAATCAATTAAGTACTGCAGATGTCTGTGGAGCTAGCAGGAGTTCAGAGCATCTCACATTCTCTTTCTGTTTAAATAAACTGTTGAACTTTTTGTCTTGGTTCTTAGAAGTAGCAAGTCTCTCTTCCATTACCTGATTTGTGATATCATAATTGCTTTAACATTTGACTGGAATCAAGCAAAGTTTTCTGCTAACAATTGTGTAAGAGAGCCAATGTGTTGGATTAGGAGCAAGGAGAGCCTGGTTCTAGTCCATAAAACTATAGTTGCTTCACTGAGTGACTTTGAACCAGTCATGCACTCTTAGCCCAACCTACATCACAGATAGTTCTTGTGGGGAAAAATAGGAGAGAGAAGTATGTGCATTGCCTTGAGCTCCTGAATGAAAGCAGGGACATAAATCTAACAAACAAATACAGAATGTGCCTCTGAATCAGAACTTGGCTTCAAGCCATGGTTCTGGGTTCTACTTTCAAGCAATAATCCTAATATAGGTTAGTATGATTATTCCTGTATTATAGTTTCAGCTCTTTGGATTAGATATTGTGATACAAAAGTATAGTAAATAAATGAATAAATACATGTATGGGTCTTTGGTAGGTCAAAAGGAAAAAACACTACCACTTAATATTCTAAAGAAAGGGAAACGGGAGATATTAAGCGAACAGAGATATTTGTGTCTTGAATACCTTACAGGTTTTGGCAAGATCTTCCACATTAATATGTGCATCCAAAAAGGACCAAAAAAAAAATGGCTCCAAAATTATCAAAAATAACAATTTTCACTAATTTCTTGTCGCTATTATACAGTAGTGTTAATGCAAAAGAAAAAACACAATTGCCTTTGTAATGGTGGATTTTACTGAACTGTTGTCTGAATGGTCAGTTCAGTGTTTCACCATCCTCTAGCTGTGAAAACTCTGTGTAGACTCTCGCTTTGGAGTATAATAGTGAAGAATCATGTCTTAGAATATGAAGGAAATGGGTTAAAATATTAAAATAACTGCAGTGCTTTTGGTTTCAAAGAGGGAAAAAAATCTCTTACTGCATCAAATTGTTTCCCCATATTATTGAAATACAAACCTAAAAATAACACTGAAAATCCCTAGCTCGTTTTTAGAAGTAAGGAAATGCAGGGAGATATCTACCATTCTTCATTTCTGCATATTATCCTTTGTACGAAGGTGGGCAGGTGAAACTATGTCGACAAGATATTAAGGACTCTCCTTAATACTAAAAGAACAGTTAGCCTTCACCAGAGTTGAAGGCATGCATTGTTTAAAAACATACATTTATGGCTGGAGAGTTTTCTGTTCTCCCACCACTACCACCACCATCATCACAATTTGTTCCTGAAAATGAGTGGGAATCCAGAGAGGAGAAGTATTTGTTTATCCTTCAACCCTTCTTAATCATTTGCTGTGTCAGCTTTGTAGATATCACGCAGCTTTCACACTGAGACATAATTAAGTTGAAACAAGATAACCTAACAAGAGAAAATATTGTATATGGCAGCAACCTTTTGCTACGTGCTATATCTAGTCTTTGCCAGTGAGTTTACATTGTTCTGGTATGTGTAGATTTACTTAATAATCTGTGTGTAATTAGCATAATTTCTGGAACTTTCCACTAGCTGAATTTTGGTTCTTTGAAATGTTGAATACCAGAATTTAGTTTATATTTACATTATAGCTTCTTTTGGATGCTTTCTTTTTAATAAATAAGGTTATAACATATCTTATTATAACACCAATAACACTAGTATAATGCTACTAAGGGTAATGTACCGATTGTCTGCGAGCAGTTAAAGATTTTATTAGAAGCTAAGCTTAATGGATTTCCCCCTTTTAGGTATCAAAGCAAGCCAAAGAGTTCCTGGAATATGTTTATGAAGAGCCCCTGATTGACATCCAGCAAGAGAATCCTATATTGTACAGACATGTCGAGCCACTAGCAAGTGTGGCCCGTCAAAGACAGCAACTGAAATCCCTCCGAGCCTATTTATTCAGCTGCAGAGCAGCAGTGGCCGAAGACCTGCGAAGGAGGTAGGGCAGAGGAACAGTCAAGAACAAGCTTCCTTGGGGCCATCCTCCCCTCCTTGGCCATCTTCCATTTCCTTTCCTTAGTTCCCATGACCCAGCAATTAAAGTGTAGCCCGTTGTGTCTGCCTCCGAAGGGTAACTGGATACTTTCATTGCAACTGGATGGTTCACTGCCTGAAGGGATCTCTGATTCATCAGTCCTACAACTAGGGATATTAGGAACAGAATGCCTATGCAAACAATTAGTGCCATGAGATAAATTTATTTTAAAATATATATAGCAAAGTATAATTGCGTATCATCACATTTCAACTATGTAGATTACACAATTGCAGCACTTGAAAAGCTGACCTATTCAGTGTTAGATTAATATGCTAACTAATTCACTGGAATCACTGTCCTGCTGCCTGAGAACTTTCTATACTGAAAATGAAATGCCAGAGCAGATACAGGTCCCTGAATAAAAGCAAACTTAAGTTACACATGGAGCCCAGGATTCTTAAGATTGTGATTAATGCTGGAAGAGCCATCATTCAAACAAACAAACAAATCAGCTGTTGTTGGCCCCCTAAAAAAAGTATAGTGAAAGTTCTGGGGCTTGGAGACACTTTTCTTCATTTCCTCAGTCACCCTCTCATCTGTCACTTTAACAATGGCTCCAGCTAATGGAAGGAGTGAAGTTAGGCCTGCTTTTCAAATAATGACTTACCTCCCTTCTAGATGGAACACAGTTTCCAATCCCTGAAAATGCAGGAGAGTGAGAATAGGATTTCCTTTGTCCCGTGGGCCTATAGAAACTACTGAGCCCCAAATACTCCCTATTTACTTTCTCTGGCCTGGGATCTGTTGGGAGAGCAGGATAAAATATGGAGAGTTCGATCTTTCACTACAGCAACCACCACCACCACCCATGTCCCCCTTACTTTGTGCCTTGATGGAGAAGGGGAAAATATGTATGTGTGTGTGTGTGTTGCCTTGGTATCTTCATCCATTTAACCAAAAGGAGATGATCTTGGCTGTTTAGGAGATAACCTTGGTCAATGTCATGATTAATAATGTCAAAAGCCAATAAAAATATTAATGTTAGTAGCCACATTCCTATTATAAATGCATTTCCATTTGTCTCTGCTGGGGACTGTGGAAAAAAAAAGTTGAAAAACTCCGCAGTTGAAGAAGGTACATGTGATATTTTACTAATATTGTATAAGAATCACCTTTCTCTTCCCTATCTATAAGTACCATTTACTTTTTTAAGACTTCCTTGATTTGTAATACTGGCTATAATATCTCCTTCAATTAGTATGAGACTGAAGGCTGGATGCTTTATGGGAGATTCAGTTCAGAAAAGGCATCAGAGAAAGAAATTACAGGCTTTTGATTAACAGCAAAGCAAAAAAGAATGTTTGATTAAAATAAAGAGGCAGGGAGGGCCAAGGCAAGTCAATGAAGAGAACAGAAGAAAAGAGATCAAAGGAAGCAGAGAGTGAAAAGCAACTGGGCTCGAAGACATGGGGCAAAGGGTGGGGGGATGAGGATACTAGCAGAGGCATGAAGAGCCAGTGCTGATGGAAAAAGGTGATAGAAAAGGGTACAGAGGAAGCTGTGAAGAGGCATTCAGGGTAGCATAGGAACAAAAGCAAACCTGAGAAAATAAGAACCATTGCAAGTGACAAAAGACAGAAACAAAGGAGGATTAGAGACTAAAGAAGCAGTTGAGTGGACATGGTACAGAAAATGGAGAGGATAAAGTTGGGATATAGATTGGGAATAATATAGAGAGCTAAAATGTTAAATTAGCATCAGACTTGGTAAAAAGTTACGTTAAACTTATCATTTGGGGGAAAGGAACTGAACATGGGTGTATGCACCTGTAGAAGGTGATGGGGAGGTAACAATGAAGATGAAAAAAAAAACTTGTTATAGATTAAATAACATCTATAAAAGTCTTATGTTTGAGGAACGGTACAAAGTTTAATTTTCTCTCTTATACTCAGATAAGCTGTAACTAACCTTGGACTTAAAAACCCATCTGGGTTGGTATACCTGGTTTGAATCTCATAACTTATCAGCGTGAGTGCCACTGGATCTCCATCTCTTTCTTTCACACTGTAGTCCCCAGACAAATGATATTCCCAGTTTCTTTTCTCCTCCTTTCCTGGTGGCATGTGTCTGCCTGTCTGTCCATCTATCCTAAGGTTTTTTGCAAGTTTATGTTTATAAACTCTAGTTTATGTTTTGCAAACAAAAGAACACCTAGTAATTATCGACCATGTTATTTACCATTTCATAGTTTTCAAATTAAAATGTGTTTACCATTGGTGAAGAAGTAAGCTAACTTTCCTTAACATTCTTGACTTTTTGTTGCTTGTTCTTAAGTCAGGTATATGAATCTCTAGCAATTCTGAAAACATTGTCATTATGTTAGAATTTCATAAAGCAAACTGTAGCAAACTATGAACAGTACACTGCAAGGAGGACTGAAAATAAGGTGATTAATCTTGATGGCGCTCTGTTATTTTTATGGTATGGACAGCCTTTCTTATGAAAAAAAGCAAAGAGTTAGCTGTAGCTTTTCATCCATGCTTATGTTTTAAAACATGCAAGGTATTCCCAAAAGAATGGCAAAATGGCTGCCCTGCTGTGTGCTAAAATTTCTGTTTTTTGAAATTTTATTTGTGTGTGCATATATATACCTATATACAGTCGTGTGAAAAAGGAAGTACATCCTCTTTGAGTTCTATGGTTTTATGTATCAGGACATAATAAAAATCATCCAGTCCTTAGCCGTTCTCAAAAGTAGGTAAATACAACTTCAGATCAACAACAACACATGACATATTACACCATGTCATCATTTATTTTACAAAAAGAAAGCCAAA